ACCCACATAGCAATTTCAATATATTAATATTGTCAAAATATTCTTACAAAATACTTTTTAAAATATTTTGAATAAAATATTGTGACAATATCTCTTAAACATAATAAAAAATATATTCTATTGAAATATTTTCATAATATGCTCACAATATAATTTTTTAAATATTTGTTTATGTATATTTTGATAATATATTAAAGAGAATAAATACAGTATATTACACCGAAAATATTTCTACAATGTGCTTAAAAAATATCTTTTTAAATATTTGCTTATAAATATTATGAAAATATATTAATTAAAATAAATATAGAATATTTAACTTGAAATATTTGTTGAATATATTATCAATATAATTTTTTAAATATTATAAATATATATCTTGTTGGCCAACTGAGGTAACTTAAGAGACACAAGCCATCCTCTTTTCTCCCTTTAGTTACATCTTTGGATGATATTGGTATCTTGTTATATAATACTTATGTATTATATATACATATTCCTAAATCTTTAATAAGTAAACAGCCGTTTTCTCTAATTAGTATCAATTTTAATTAACTTAATTCAATTAAGCTAAGTAAGTTAGGGACAGTGTTTCACATAATTACGCAGTGGAATAATTAATTATGCTATATTTTAACAATTAGCTTATAATAATAATAAGTTTGGGCGTCCCCTGCTTTAAACAATGTTTCATACAATAGCTTAAATATATATATATAAAAATATTTTGATTTGATCCGACCTGATTATTTTTCTCTTCACCTCTTGTTTAACATTGCCAAGTCGCCGATGTTTATTTGATCCGCAATATGATGGTCTAACANTTTGATTTGATCCGACCTGATTATTTTTCTCTTCACCTCTTGTTTAACATTGCCAAGTCGCCGATGTTTATTTGATCCGCAATATGATGGTCTAACAAATTCCGCCGGTACATCAATTGTACACACACAAGGCGAAGGAACTCTTCGAAATGCGATTCGGTGCAATAATAATAATAATAAAAGGAATAACCGAACAACACAGTCACCACTTAATAATCCGAGCGAGCGACATAATAAAAGCATGTGTTGGGGCACCGCCGACCGAAAAAAAACAACAACGAGGTTAAAAAAGATAATAATCGAACAGCACACGCAAAAACCTGAAAACCGTGATCGGGCGGCCGCCGACCGATGGTCACCGAACCGGCTCCACTGATAAGGCCGACAGTGGTATCAGCTGACCACGGAGGCGGCACTACTGCCTGGCGTGAACATCCTCCCCCTGGTGAAGACATAGTCTTCACAATTGGTTTTGGATGATAAAGCCATCCATTGTGCTGTGACTGGATCAGACTGGAGCAAGGTGGAGATATCTTCGCCAGTGTGGTACGTGCTTCCCCTTTTTTTTTTACATAAATATATAATTTTATAAACATACAAAATACACATACAAAGAAACAATAATTTTTAACAACTAAGAGGTATAACAATAATTTACATAAATGGGTAACGCCTGGTAACCAGATGGGTACTTAAGTTAATACCCGGGACCCGTGATGCGGTCCTAATTAAGTGGTAAGATTGTATTTGAAAAGAATATGGAAAACATGTGTTGGTAGAGCACAAGAGCACAAGAAAGAATAAAACAGATAACAAATAAATAAATAACTATAAGAACTAAGATGCCAGCAATGGCACCANATCACGTACGAGTCTAAAGCGCTAGAAGTACAGGTTCTAATCCCGCGTAGCGGTCCTTTTTTTTGCATTATTTAATATATTTATAAAACATTTTAAAAATATTGTCACAATATATTTTTTATAATATTTTAGAAATATACCTTTAAAATATTGTGAGAATGTAATATTCGCTGCCAAAGTATATTCTGAGAACATTGTGAGAATATTTCAATATATTCTGGTTATATTCTAGAAATATTTTAATATCAAAAATAAATATTCTAGGAATATTCTAGAAATATTTCATTGCTATGTGGGAAGTGACTCAAATAAAATTCCTGATCTTTTAAACTTCTTCGTAATTAAAGGTTACTCTTCTAATTATGTTCAAGCAGAAGAGCTGGTAGACTTGCCGTCTGATCACATTCCTGTGTTATTAACAATAAGTTCGAATGTCATATTAAAAAAGCGGAAAATTTTTCTCACAAATAAACAGACAGACTGGGATTTTTTCACAATGGCCCTAGAAAAAACACTTTCCGTACACTTGAAAACAGCAAGTAACATAGAAAAAGTAGTACATTAACTAACTAATGATATTATCAAAGCGGCAAAAAAACTACTCCAGAAACTTGTAAAGACAAATATTATGAGACAACCTATCCAGCAGAGATAAAAGAACCTATTCGGCAAAAGCACAGAGCTAGAAGAAAATGGCACACTACCCGTCATTTAGCAGATAAAACTGAATTAAATCGCTTATGCAAAGCGCTTTGTAAGAAAATCAAAGAAGTTAATAACGAAACATTTAAGTCATATTTAAGCAGACTAACATTATATTACAGAACAATGGGAAAAGGCGCAAGTAATCATGTTGCTGAAACCTGGCAAGCCCCCAGAGTAATCTCTTCATATAGGCCAATATTACTCATACCCAGTATGGCTAAACTCTTAGAAAAGCTTCTTTTAAAGCTCCATAAACCTTTAATAGAAGAAAAAAAACTTATATCCGATCATAAATTCGATTTTAGAAACAAACATTCAACTATAGACCAAATTCATTGTGTAACAAACGTAATAAGTAACGCTTTTGAAATAAAAAAAATATTGTTGCGGAATATTCCTTGACATAGCCCAGGCTTTTGATAAATTCTGGCATAGTGGCCTGCTGAAATTTGCGTGAACAATTACCAAACTCATGGTGTACACTACTCGAGTCCTATTTGACTGAAAGACAGTCCCGCGTCATACATGACAAAACTTTAACTAGTTGGAAAAATATAGCAGCCGGAGTTCCACAAGGTAGTGTATTGGGTCTTATATTGTATCTACTTTACACGGCTATGTTTGCAAATGATACTGTATTATTAACAACTAACAAAGATCAACAGATAGCTACTGATCAGATTTAAATAACTGTCGTGATATGCTTAATACTTTGCACTAAGCATCTCACAATTATCAATGAAAAATGTATAATCTGTATTTTAAACAACTTGTAAACAAACAAATAATTTATCTGTCATAACAAATATGCTGTTCAATACAATTTATTATTATTTATATATATGCCAACTCATCTATTGTCAACTATATTATCTAATATAATTATCATGTAATGTATACTTTGAAACAATAAATAATAATCATAAATAACACAAACGGCAATATCCCTGGATATGGGGGTACCTTTTTAGTACTATAAAAAGTACTGATATCCATTGAAAAAGACAGAGAGAGAGAGACAGAGCCACGGCTACGGCTAAGGCCAGAGCCACAGCTCCAGTANAGAGAGAGAGAGACAGAGCCACGGCTACGGCTAAGGCCAGAGCCACAGCTCCAGTAAGCTAGTTCTTTCCTGCGAACTACTCTTGCT